GAGAGGGAGAGAGAGAGGTTTACATGTTTAAGATGGACATGTGTTGAATTATTATCTAAAGTTTGTGTTTCATTCTCTTTTCATCATTCACTCGTTCATTTAGCAATAGACCAAAAGGAAGCAGTTACCACGGCAACAGGTATGTTGCCGTCGATGGAGGAGAATCCGACGCCGATCATCACGACGCCAGACGCCTGCAGAGAAAATGGAGAGAAACAAACGTCAGAATAAACTCCTGCATTAAACTGCAGAAGTGAATTAAACAGTCTTTACCTCCGAACAACAAAGAAGAAGAAGAAGAAGCTAAAGTCTGAAGCTTCAGTCGAGTTAATCTGAAACATGCACAGTAATTAACTGTAATCAGCTGATGTCGTGTAAACAATGAAAACTCAGCAGCCAAACAGGAAACAGGGAAACAGGAGCCAGTAAAACACAAATACACACGGTGGAAAGTTTTCAGTGAGAAACACAAACATGGCCTCTACACTTCCACTGTCAACTCAGGCTGAACGAGAGAATTATGCTTTTACCATTTCATTTGGTTTTAATGTTTTACTGCAAATATGAAATGAGAAACAAAGGTAAAAATATTCATCAAAAAACAACAATTTAATGGGTTCTATCAATTTAAAGTTTATTAAACATCCTCAGTTTTATTTAGTTCCATCACCGTGTCATAAAAACATGTGTGGACATGTGACACGTGAAGAATCTCAAACACAAACATGCTGTTTCCAAAAAGTCAAACAAAGTCTCTTATTATTATTATCAACGTTCATGAAGTTAGCAGCGAGCGGCTACAGAACGTAGCATTTAAAGGTTAGCTTACCATTAGCAACACAGTGACACAGATGGCGAGTCCTCGTAAGTAACTTCTGCAGCGAGCCATGACTGAGCCTGAGAGACGAGAGCTGGAGGAGAAGCAGAGCTGTGTGAGGGTGTGTGTGTGTGTGTGTGTGTGTGTGATGGATGTTTAAACCTCAAGAGTGTTTGGCTGCTGAACGAAGAACATGACCAAGTTTGGAAGAGTGGAAGATGAGGAGAGAGGAGACGAGAGGAGGAGAGAGAGAGAGAGAGGAGACGAGAGAAGGAGAGAGGAGAGGAAAGGATGAGAGGTTATTCCAGGTATCATTAGATCTAATTAAGAAGAGGAAGAGAGAAATAAGAATGAATGAACAACAGGAAGTGAAGAGAGAACGACTGATGAGAGCAAAAGAACAAGAGACAGAAAAACTATCTTCAAATATCAGAACATCTTTATTTATAAGTGATATAACTGATGGCTTCTAATGACTTCCTGTTTCATCTCCTCATCTCCTCACAAACCAACTGTTTCCTTCTGAGGACGTGCACGAAGAGCACGAAGAAGAGCACGAAGAGCACGAAGAGCACGAAGAAGAGCAAGAAGAGCACGAAGAAGAGCAAGAAGAGCACGAAGAAGAAGAGCAAGAAGAGCACGAAGAAGAAGAGCAAGAAGAAGAGCAAGAAGAAGACGAGCAAGAAGAAGAGCACGAAGAGGAACACGAAGAAGAAGAGCACGAAGAAGAGCACGAAGAAGAAGAGCACGAACTGCGACCTTCTGCACTTCGGAGGATTTCTGTAATCGTCCTGAGCTGAAGTCTGACAGAACGTTTTCAACATGTCGTTAACGTGATGACGAACTTCTGGTCTGCCTTCGTCGTTATCTCTTGCAATGCATCATGGGTGATTTCTGTTTATTATGGGATGTCTAGTATCAACACCTTCTGTATCGTGTGGCAGAATAAAACATTGTAATAACAACAGATTCAGTTTCTCTTCAACTCAGTGAAGAATAAAACTCAGAGGGAATTCAGTCGAGTGGTTAAACAGAGCCGTTTAGTTTAGTCTAAAAATAACTGAAGAGGGGTGTGTGTGTGTCTGTGTGTGTGTGTGTGTGTGTG